TGCTTCCTTCAGGTTTCAGCAGTAATCTCGCCTCATCAGCGGGGCCTTTCCCAGCCACGCCATTCTGAAAGCGGGTCCCCCTTGTTATTCTCAATCGTGACAACAAATTTGTTTTTGAGCACTCCTAGCCATTTCTATATTTGTGTCATTCTTTCAGCCTTGTGTCCCCCGCTAGGATGTAAGCTACATGAGGGTAGGGACTGTGTCCATCTTACTCATTGCTGGGCCTCCTGGGGCCTGAGCACCAGGGCTGGCGGGAGTAGGCAGGCTAATACATATGGCTGAATGAAGGAACAGGTGGGTAGTAAGAGCTCCATTTTCAGGAGAAGGCTCAGAGCCCTCAGGTCACAAGGGCAGTAACCCTGGCCTGAGAGCACAGTCCTGCCCTCGCTACTACACAGTCCCACTTCTGTGGCTGGGGCCGTGGCCACGGCACAAATCCCCGCCCATCTTGCTGTCATAGTGATCCCTAAAACGTCAAGAAGTACACAGATAGCAGGGCCACCCTGGGCGGAGGGAGGTAGCCAAGAGACCCCAGAATTGGTACTGAAAATTCTGGCTATCCGAAACGGCTTGCCCCAGTGTAGACACCGTGATGAACGAGCTGGCAAACCATGAAATGTGATGCAATTAGTGCTCCAGTCTCTCGGCGGGGTTTGGTTGGGAGGGCCCAGCCCAGGTCAGCCGCTCCCAAAGATTCATTCATTGTGTGAGGCCGCCCGGCGCGGCGGGTGACAATGCAGGTGGAGTCCGGTTCCTCGGCAGCCCCGTGACCCTGAGCTTCAGTCTTGTCCTCTGGGAAACGGGAGCCCTGTCTTGCTGGGTCCCTGTGGCGGTTCACCGGGGCCCGCCGTGCTCCTGGTACTGGCGGGGCGTGATGCTGTCCAGCCGTGGTTACTATTACTGTTATGGTTGCATGGTCATCGTGTCCTGGTTTGGGGCTGGAAAGAGCAGGTGGGACCCCCGTTCCAGCCTTCACCGGCGGGGAGACCTGAAACGCAGCCTCAACTGCTCTTTCTGCGAAGCGGAGGCTCACTTTGGTTGCCCTCCCGCAGGCCCCTACCAGCTCCGATGCTCCAACCCAGATGCCCTCCCCACCCTTTGTCTTGCTGACAGCCCAGGCCCCCTTCTCCAGCCGGGGTGGCAGTGAAATGGGCGCCCGCTCTGGGGCCCGTTCCTGAGTTCGAATCCAACATGTGCCTCTTAGTCTGTAAGCATGTGCTCCGGAGCAAGTGCCTTTCCCTGTTCTGGGCCTCACTTTCTCCATCTGCAAAATGGAACCTCTGCACGTTTCCTCTCGCGCGGGGACTGTTGAGGGTTAAAGGGAATGAGGAGCCGTGGAAAGTGCTTTGTGAGCTGCAAGGAGCGCTATAAAAGGCATCAGTGAATGGTGTCAGCTTGGGGGAAAATCTCATCCAGAGACTGTCTGCTGTCGGCAGCAGAGTGTGCTGGAGCCTTGGCAAATGCCGTTAAATAAATGCGGGTCGCTTTTAAGGGGGCCTTTATCTCGGCTGGGAAAATGTGTGCGCGTCCTTGGCAGCCTGAGAATCCAGAAGCCTGAGCTGGAGGGGACCCCATCGTCACAGGGAGAAGCGATCGCGCACCAGCTCCGGGAGCAGATGTCTGTTTGAGCCTTGCCTCTGCCCCTGCTCTGCCTCTCAGGGTTACAGCTTCCTCACCTGGAGGAGGGGGACGGCGACCACAGCACTCCCCTCGCCGGGCTCAGTTCAGTGACGGCTCCCTGTTGTGTGACCTCATGCACACGTGGGACCCATGGGAGCACCGGGCCTGTCCCTAGAGGAACAATGGGGCCTGCGGTCGGAAGAACTCCCCTGGGTTCTCAGCCTGTCCAGCCCCCACCTTTGGGCCTCAGTTTCTCCATCTGCAAAATGGGAAGGTGAGAAGAAGGTCCTTAGGTCGTCGAGGCACCAAGTACAGTGGATGGTGGGGTGGTGTCCCCTGTCTGTTCTCCCCACGTCAGCGGGGCTGCCTAGGCCTGCTAGACACAGAGCGTGTTTATAGCACACGTACTGATAGTTCCTTCCCTGCTGCTTTGCAAACAGGGCCACATTGCAGGCATGGCTTCATCACCTCCAGGTCCCTCCTACACCCTGCAAACACTCACTAGGGCCTTTGAGCCGCCCCACCTCCGGGCCTCCTCGTCTGCAGTCGGCTCAGCCTGCTCACAGGTGCCGCGATGAGTGGTCTCGTGCATATGTCGGGCAGAGCTGGTTTTGCTTCGGAGAGAATCCTTAGCTTCTCGATCTTAAAATTGTGATCATCGTCATCCCTTCCATTCTTAAATGTCTGCTGCATGGTCACGGCTGTCCGGCTTTACGTGCTTCCTCTCTGCCAGGCACCAGACTGAGCTCTTCACACTCGTTAGCCTGTTTCATTCTAAACAGCCCTAGTGTTATTATCATCCTCCCCATTCTACAGATGGGAAACCACAAGTCCGGAGGGGTTAAGACATTTCCTGGAGTCTCGTAAGTGGCAGAGTTAAGATCTAAACCCGAACATACATTCAGTGAATACCAGGCACTGACATAAAGCTGGAGGATCCTGCAGGGAACAGAACTAAGTGTCTGCTCTCAAAGGGTTTAGATGTAAATCTAGGGTAGGCAGATGGCGCTAATGAAACTGACAAATACCTATGTGATATGTCGCTTGGTGGGTGATATGTAGGAAAATAAAACAGCAAGGGCCATGAAGGGGGTAGTGTTTTATACAGAGTGGCCAGGGAAGGCCTTTCAGATAGGGCTGAAGGAGGTGAAGGAGCCAGAGTGTAGATATCTAGGGGATGAGAGTACGAGGCAGAGGCAGTGGCAAGTGCAAAGGGCCTGAGGTGCTTAGAGACTCTGGCATGATTGCGAGCAAGCTCTGGTGCCCTGGCGGCCACCAGAAGGGTTCTGGGTCTCACTCAGAGTGCAGTGAAGGCTGCAGGAGGTTTTGAGCAAAGGAAGATGTTATCTGGTTTAGGTTTTAGAGGCACCTCTGGCTGCAAGGAGAGCGTGTATTGTAGAGAAATGAGGTGGAGGCAAGAAGGGCAGCTTGGAAGCCGAGGTGAAGATGCAGGTCAGGGACGGTGGTGCGGTCAGGTGGCTAGAAGAGATCAGAGTCTGGCCAGATCCTGGCAGTAGGGCTGGCAAGATCTGCTCGTCGATGGGCTGTGGGACAGGGTGGGGAGGGGGACAGTCCTCAGTCCAGTTCTTCTGACCACTCACATCTGACCTTGGGGAGAGAGACAGTTGGACCCCCTTGTTTACAGGTTCGAGAAAGTGGAGGCTCAGAGGGGATGAGACATAGGGGTCTTCTGGCCCCAGAGCCCAAGCTCTGGACTGTTGGCCCCTCAGGAGTTTCCCTGCTGCGTGGAGGGGGCTGCCGGGGTCTGCCCGCTCCCTGCAAGGATATGGCACAGTGCCCAGTTCCCAGAGTTGCCTGGAGTGGGGGTGGAGGAGAGAGTACCCCTGTTTTATTTGCAAGGCCATGTGCATCCCCATTTGCGCTGGTTCTGATGCAGCTGGTAGTTTCTACCGCAGCACGATGGGTCTGTCCGGCCACACCAATGCCGGCCTCCTGTGCAGATGGCCCCCGAAGCCCAGTCCCAGGCTAACCCCATCCCAGCTTGCTCATGGCCCACAAGCATGTCCCAAGGACTCCGCCCTGGTGCCTGGATTGTGCAGAGCCCTTTCCTCCTCTGCACCTTTGCTCCTGTGGTCCCCCTTTCCTGAGATGCCTTCCCGTCTCCCCAGCCTCTGTCAGCCTTCATGACCCAGCTCAGGGGCCACCACCTCCAGTAGGTCTTCCCACATCCCACCCCTCTCCCAGGGCCCGGTCCCCAAGCCCCTCTTCACTCACTGATCTCCCTCCAGGTGGTCAGTGCCTTGTGTCAGGGACTCGGTCCCACAAGGGCCGGGACCCGTCGTACTCAGCTTTGTGTCCTGTAGCTTCGAGGACTGGGGCTGGCATTGGCGTGGGGTTCGAGAGGGCACAGATGCACCAGGCCCCCTGCAGAGAAAGTCGGTGTCTCACTGTGGCTGTCGGAACCCCCGCAACACTTGCGTCGAGCCCTGAGCCCCCCTCTTGGGAACCGCAGGATCCACAAGCCCTCCACCCAGGCAGCCCCCCCATGGATCGGCCCCAGGGGCTGTGTGCTCCCTGCCTCGGGGCGTGGGGTCCAGAGTTTGGAGCTGGCCTCTTGACCGCCTAAGCACATAGGAAGCAGGTGCCCTGGGCCTTGCCCACCAGCAGCTGATGGCAGAGGAATGTCCCGCCCCTTCTCTCACCACCCTTGTGTGTAGAAACCCGTGCGTGCCAGACGCCGTCACAGCCGGGCGTGTGGACACACGGGTGTTATGCCGACAGCGGTCCCCTGCCGTGCACACACTCACATTCACACTCGCGTGTACACCATCACCCCCGCACACTCTCTACACATGCATGCACACGCCCGTGCACAGCCCACTCCTGAGCTCCCCTGCCCGCACACTCTTGAGCAACACTCTTGCACTCGCCTGCACATATATGCATACCCCTGCGTCTGCTCCTTCACTCCTGTGTGCATGCTCATCCACACTCCTGCATTGCACGCTGTCACACACAACCCTTAAGTCATAACCCAGAAGACACCAAAGGTAGCCCCTGACAAGGTGTGTGGGGGGGGTCATAAACCAGCAGCCCCCCGCGAGGAGGGCCAGGAGCGACGGTGGTCCGGGGAGGGGCCGCTGAGCGCCCCTGCTGCGGGGACCGGGTGTGAGCTGCGCCTTCGCAGGGTCCTGAGGCCCCGGCACGGCCAGAGCTCTGGCCATGGCCTCCCAGGCCCCTGGGCTCCTTGAGTTTGTGGAAATCTGAGGGTGGCCTCCAGGCTGTCTCGCAACAAGTCCAGGGGGCCGTCACCACCCGCTGCGCTGACTGCTTCTGTTAGGGAACTTACTCGCAGGTTTTATTTCATGACTTTAATTTTGTTCCCAAAGGAGTAAATGTTCACTGAAGACACAAGATTTTAATATATTGTTTACTCTAGAGTGAAAAAGAAAAACGGGCCAAGCCCCAGCCTCATTTCCCAGACATGGCGCACCTCAGCATCATGGTGTTTGTCACGCTAGATCTTTTTCTCGAGACATTCCAGTGGTCAGTCAGTATCTGCAGACAGTTTCTCGAGTGTCGAGTCTGTGCTGAGCACCGTGTCAGGAGCTGGGGGAAAGCAGCAGTGAACAAAACAGACAAGGTTCCTGGAGGGGAGGCTTATTTAAACAGTAAACATAATATGTAACATAGATATTAGATGTAGAGATTTTTCTAATTATGAAATAGAATACTATAAATATTTAATAGTCATCCAGTTTAGGAAATCTGAAAAATACCCAAAATAGAAGGAAAAACCCCTCAGTTTTAGTTAGATTCATGACCCAGAGACAGTTGCGTTTTATAGCCTTGTATATATAATACCTTGCTGTTGTTTATTTAAATATAGTTTTATTTTATTTTACAAAGTCATAATCATACCGAAAGCACAGTTTTTATTTTTTTATTGTGCAAGTCATGCAAACAGAAAACATAAAAACAAAATCCCTTGCAAATCTATTACAGAATTAACCACTGCTAATCTTTAATATGCACTTTTTTTTTTTTTTTAACTTAGCAGTCTGAGATCACACTGAATGTGCGACTCGGTAACTGATCTCATAATACATTTTTGCGTTGATAATTGTCATTCTACACCATCATTTTTAATGGCTGTAGACTCAGTCCTCGTGTGGGGTCACCATCACGGGATCAATCAGTCTCCTTCTCTTGGACATTAGGACATTTCCAATTTGTTATTTTTTAAGAACACCTGAGTGAACGAAGCAGAATGTTTGCTCATATTCTTAGTTATCTGAGTATGATTTTACATTGTTTTTACTCAATCATATTTTAACGACATCAAAATGTGGATTGCAGTTACCTTTGATGGTAAACTAGGAGATTATTGTTGTGTTTTTATACTTTTTCACTTTCTCTAAATGCTTTGCAATGAACAGGTTTTATTTGCATAATCACAAAATCATTTATAATTATGCCCTGCAAAAAATGTCCAGATTACCAGTTTTCGTGGTGGTGGCTCTTTAGGCCTCCGTGTAAGTCCACGTAGGGGATAGGCCGTAATTCACTTAGCCATCGCCTCTCACGGGCCGCCCGGGTTTTTTCTCCAGCTTTTTCAAGATCATCATGTGGGAACCCCACGCCCTGTTTGGGGTTGTGTCCTTGCGGAACAGCCCCGCAAAGGCTGGTGAACAGCTTTCACACCTTTGGTACATCCTGCCAAACTGCCTTCCCAAGAGGATGTTCCAATTTCCACTCCCACCAGCAGCGTGCGAGAATGCCTGCCCAGCCGCCCTACTCACCCGGAGATGGTTCAGGCCCCTGGACCGTGGCTCTCCCTTGCCAGGGAGGGCAGGGAGAGAGCAGGAAATGGTTTTGTTCGCGATGCCAGCATGATGACCCCAGGCCCAGAACCGCAGCAGTGATTTTTAACAAGCCCGGTTCCCAGAACAGAACCTGCCGAGAAAAAGAGAAGCAAAGCAAGCAAGGGAAAAGAAACCTCTCTGCTGGAAAAAACACACATATACACAGATTAAAATAATATTTGGCACTCTCGTCGCACTTTTAAAATTCTTCAAACGCTTTATAAACACTAGCTAATTAATTAAGCCGCCTAAATCTGGCTGCAGTGGTGGAGAGAGCTCAAGAGGAGCTAAAAAAAAAGGGGGGGGCCAGCCCTCCCCAACTCCAGATTTTATTGTCGCCTGCCCGGGGTGTGATTGCAGGCCTCCGGCTGCACCCCAAGAATAGCCCTGCTCCAACACGTTGCACGCCTGGTTCTGCAACCATCTCCTGCTCGCGCCGCTCCCCTCACCAGCTGCTGACTCACGCCCCTGCGCCACGTTATTGATAAGGATAATAATAACTGACATCCATTCCGTGTGCCGGGGGGGTGGGGGGGTGGTGCCAGGCGCGGTCCCGGGCTCCCGGCTCGCGCCATCTCCTGGATATGCCTGTGGCAGCTCCACTCGACAGATGAGCAAAGACTCAGAGAGGGGCTTTGCCCAGGAGCAAATGCAGTCCCTCCTTCATTCATGAGTGCGTTCATTGAGCGCGTAGTTATTGAGGGCCCGGAGCGTGCCAGACAGTTCCAGGCAGGGGCTTGGAAACAGTTCCCTGTGGATGCCACATCCTGGTTGGGGGGAAACATGACAATCAAGTATATAAATGTTGTATCTGTGATAATAACGGGAACAGAAACTAAAATTTACCCAGCCCCTACGAGGCCGGCGCTTATGTCCTACTGTGTCCTAGTGCTCAGGACGGTCCTGGGGGGTGGACGCCGCTAGCCCCACTTTGCGGATGATGGGATGGAGGCCCAGGGAGGGCAGGTGCTGAGCGGGTGCGAGTGATGTTCTTGGCCCAAGTGATGGTGGGCGAAGAGGGGAACCAGCGCCTGTGCTCTCCCCCAGTGGCATTTCCAGGGCCTCCAGTGGCCCGTGCTGGAATGCAGACCCATTGGGGGTGTTCTTGGGTGCGTGCTGCTGGTAGCGGCTTGTGGTGTCTCGGGGTGGCCGGCTGCCTCTGGGGGCCTCCTCCGTGTGCCTGGCACACACCTGGCCACCAGCTCCACCCTGAGCCCCGGCCCTCTGTGCGCTCTGGATTCCTCCCTGCACGGGGAGGGTCGGGCCGCCGTCTGGCTGAAGCTCTGCCTCTCGGGCACTCGCCAGGAGAACCGGGTAACCCCCAGCCCGGGAGTCAGGCCGGGACAATGGGCACAGGGGTAGAGAGGCCTGTTCTGAGGCCCTGGGCTTGCCAGCAGCGAGGGCAGAGACTGGAGTCCGTGGGCTTCCCAGCCTTTGGGCGCCCTGCCCCTGCCAGCGGGTGGTGCCAGGCCATGGGCTCGTGGCAGATTCCCAGCTCCCTCCTGCCCAGCCAGAGCCAGAGGGCATCAGCGGCCCCCCTGTCTGGTGTACAAGGCAAAGGTGGCCTAGGACAAGGTGTCCGGATAGGGCAAGGTCACACTGCGGGTCAGTGAGTGACCAGGAGGAGAGAGATTGACCGTCAGCACCTGCACCAGTTGCCACGACCCCAGGTCTGTCTTTTATTCTCTCTTCCCGTACTCCGTCCCCCTCCTCACTGTCCCTGCCTGTCCGCGTCTCCCTCGGCCTGTGTCTGTCGTCCCCTCTCTCTGTCTCCCGGCCTCTGTGTTTCTCCAAGGGCTTTATGATCTCTCCTCTCTCCCCCACCCCCACCTGGGTCAGAATTGGGCCCTGGGTGCACCGTGACATGAGTATCTCGGCAGCTTCTCTCGGCAGCTTCCCACTGCCTGGTCACCTTCCTGGCTGTGTCCCCCCGACCCCCCACCACCATGTCCTCTGCCCGGAGTCCCTGTCTCACATGCCCCACTGCTCTCCAGTTTGGGGCTCAGGCCCCTCCCTTTCACCACGCCTAGGAAACCTTCCAGCTACCCAGCCCGGAGCCCTTGAGGCCTAATGTGCATCCAGCCCCTGTGTGTCCCCAGTATCCAGGATGGCCTGGCCTGCAGGTGCATTAGCAAGGGGGGGGGGGGAAGTTCGCACAACAGATCCCCCCCCCATTTATTTGTTGTGTGATGACAGTAGCTTCCCTGTGCCCCACGTGGTGCTAAGTAACTTCTGTGTGTCATTGCATTTTCTTCTCAGAACAAAGCAGAGGGCTAGGGGATGCTCTACCCATCTTGTAGATAAGGAAACTGAGTCTCAAAACCAAAGGATAAATTCGGGTCACGTGTGAATAAAAGGCGAGCCAGGTTTCAGACCGGCTCAGATGGTTCCAAAGACCAGATGCTTCTTTTTGACGCTGTCCCTGGCCAGCGTTGTTGTTTGGTCCTGCCAGAGATCCATCGAGATGGGGTCACAGTAACTGACTGACAGATGAGGAAACTGAGGCTCGAGAGCCATGGATGGAGAGACCTGCCCAGACTAAGGGCAGCACTCCCATCCACATCCACATCCTGTTGGATGTTCTTGGCCCAAGTGATGGCCATAGTCACGGAGAAGTAAGGCCTGAGCCAGGACTCAGATCCAAGTCCTCCCGCCTCATGGCTCCAGAGCCTGGACGAGCCCCAGCTGCTGGGTGTGGCTTCCCTGCTCGGGGCCTGCTTCCTGGGCCAGGCCCAAAAGAACCTAAGCTCCCCATAGAGCCCCACGCACACCGTGCTGCCCCCCACCTTTGAGCCCCTGCCCCGCTGTGCCCTCTGTGAGGAACACTGTGTCCCTTACATCCTGGGAGGTTCAGAGCTCAGCTCAGACATGACTCTTCCGGAGAGGACTCAGGACCTCCAGCCTGCTCCCTGGCACATCATGAACCTCAGTTTCCTCGGTTGTGATGGGGTCTCACGTTACAGGCTCGTGGTGAGGGCTGCATGCCACGTACGTGCAACGTGCCTAGGTCAAGGCCCGCTCACGGTGCACACTCACTCAGTGAGCTGTTGTGGATACACATGTGAGGAGACACCCAGGATCACGTCAGGATGATCTTTGTTTTCCCTCCAGGTGTGGCAGGTGAGACGGAGCTGCAGGTGATCCAGCCTGAAAAGTCAGTGTCTGTCGCAGCCGGACAGACAGCCACTCTGCCCTGCACCCTGACCTCCCTGCTCCCCCTTGGGCCGGTTGAGTGGTTCAGGGGAACAGGGCCAGCCCGGGAGTTAATCTTCAGTTTCAGAGGAGGCCACTACCCCCGAGTGACAAAGGTTGCAGATACCACAAAGAGAAACAACACGGACTTTTCCATCCACATCAGTAACATCACCCCAGCAGACACTGGAACCTACTACTGTGTGAAGTTCCAGAAAGGGACCCCTGATGTGGAGTTTAAGTCTGGACCAGGCACTCAACTCATAGTGAGCGGTGAGTATGGCATGGGCCTCCTTTGTCCCCTGGTTGTGACAACAAGTCAATAAGAATGCCCTCTATTGTCTGAGCAACAGCTAAGGATCAGGTTCTGAGGTGGGTGCCCCTGACTTCAGCCCCTCCCACAGATCAGGGAATTTGAGACCTGGGGAGGTCATGCTATTTGCTCAAGGCCCCCCGGCTGATAAATGGTGGGAAAATCTAGAACCCCAGTCTGAGGGCTCCACAGCTCTCGCCTTTTCCTATCCTGACCAGCCCTCTGGTTCCAGGGATGAGGGACTAATAGTCTGAGTGACTTGCCCAGTCAGAAGGTCCCACCTCACTCTTACCTCCAGAGAGCACCCCCCTCCATGTGGGTGACTCTTCTCTTTACTCAGCACTTACTGAGCACCTGCTGTGTGCAGGCTCTGCGCTGGGTGCTGGGGAAGCAGCAGGGAACAAAACAGGGAAGGGCTCCTCTCTCATGAAGCTTACGTTCGCTTCTGTTCCAACGAGCACAGACCCATCCAGGGCAGAGAGAAGGAAGAACGTGTTTCTTTATTTCATCTTCAGAAACATCACACAGAAAAGACATTCCTGAGAGGTACAGACTCCCTGTTTACTCTGACGGCCCAGGTTGGAGATGCCAGAGGTTGGGCTTTTGCTGTGGGTCTGTCCAGAAACAGTGGAGCCTGGTTCAGGGACCGACTCACACAGTCGCTGCAGGCTCCGAGCAGACCTGGGGCATCCAGAATGTCCTCACCCAGGGAAGAGGGGCCCATGTGGGTGAATAGGGTTGTCCCGTCGACGTAAAGATGATCATTTAGGGTTTTCTGCCAGGGTCCCGGGATCCGGAACCCTGAGCTGTCAGCACGCAAAGGCCCCATCTAGCCCAGCCTTCCATGTACACATTCAGAGCCTGTCACGAGATGACAGGGACTTGCTCATGCTCATGTATCCAGTGAGTGAGGAGATTGTTCCAGAACCCATCTGATTCCTGGCAGGTTTCTTCCTGCCCCAGCTTTGGATACTGTTTCCATGGAAGAGCCTGGTGCATAGTAGATGCTGAATAAAATCAAGTTACACTGACCCTTTGAACAGGGAGCCAGTATTTCTCCGTTTCATCATTTTTCCAGAGGTTCAGATGGTACAACCCTCTCCTTTAAAATACTGTATTCTGTTCTTCAACAATATACGTTAAGAAGAAGAGTCCTTGGGGGGAGGGGGGCTAGCTTTGCACCCCCAGATCAGACAGATATGCAAACATCTGATGAAGTGTTGAGCCTGTTCCTGGAGGCCATGGTTCCACATACATAAGAACATCAGGAGTCTTTCCCCGTTGTGTGGTGTTGCTCCTTCACTGAACAGCCTGGGGGCAGCGGCCCGGAGAGAGCAGAGGGATCCCCACGATCCCAGCAACACCGGGCACCCCATTCCTGGCTCTGCAGACTGAGGATGATGGGGAGGCACTTCCTGGTGGGTGTCTGGAGCCCTCTGAGCAAGGGTTCATATTCTAGACTCAGCTGTTGGGACCCCACATCTTCGCTCCATTGCTACAGGGTCAGCAGCTCTGGGCACCCAGAGGGACCCCTCCTCATAAGTGTTTGCAGTGGAGAATGTCAGAGGGACAAGGAAGGTGGTGGTCACTGTTGGGCTAAAGAAGGCACTCTGTTGT